AGGTTTCAGTACCTCAAAGGAGACACAGTCTAAGGTACACCCTTTATATTTAAGAAAGGAAAGGCCAGGGAAAAGAAAAAATGCCTTCCAATTAAAGTTTAAGGTTTTCTAGAATGTCCACATTCTGTAATAGATACTTCTATATTTAGAACATAGATTTTTTTTTTTTTTAAAGTGGCTTTCATGGGCAGGTGATATTTCCTGGAAAGGCAAACTTTCTGTCCTCTGAATAACAGCAAATGGAGGCTCTAAGGAATGTTCTGTTCAACAGTTTAATGGGATTCCATTTGAGGACACTCTCCCCAAACCCCATGCTACACCTTCCTTTGCTTTATCAGGCTGTAGTTTCTAAGAGACCACAACTTCCTTATGGCTACTTCTTTATCTAGCTGTTGTTTACACCTGTGTCTCCTTCTTTATCATTTTCTTCTTCTCTGAATTCACTGAAGTGCCTGGAGACTATTTTTCCACCTTGTGGGTTATTTTTGAGGCAATTCTTTTGACATGTCTAATTCTCCTACCCTTTCTTTAAACAAGAGATGGAGGGTGAGAGAGAAGGGGGTGGGGAGGGGATCAAGAGATGAGTGGAACATCTAATCATGAGACAATTGGTGGCTAAATGCAGTGATTCTCATGTACAGACCTGTGAGAGCCCTCAGCTTTGAGCCTTGGTCATTACAGAAGTTGCCTTAGCTGAACTCTTTAAAAGTGTTCACACATGTATAAAGAGAAATGATACGTTAAGACTACTGCAGTTTCAGAAGCTTTATTTGAAAAATCAGTAGCTGCACTGTAAATTAGGGAGAGTTACCATTCATTCCCCCCCGTTTTCCTGGCCCAGTACATGGGTATTTCCCAGGCCTACTTTTCCGGAGTCCCAGCAAATCTTAGGCAACGCTGGCTGGCTGTATCTGATAGGAATTTGGGGGTCTGACCGGGGCCATTGAAGAAGGAAGAGGGGGAGGGGAAGAGAGAGAGAGAGAAAGAGAGAGAGAGAGAGAGAGAGAGAGAGAGGCTCCAAAGAGAAAAGAACTCACTTTTTTTCTGGCTTTCTTGGACCACAGGCGCCAGCGAGGGACGGTGCTCAGTGCCTGGCTGCCTCACTGGGTTCCAGGAGGTCTGAGAGCTGCGAGAGAGAATCAAACTAACACCGTGAGCATCTTTTCCTTTTAAGCTGCTCTTTGCCAATCCACAACCCACTACCTTATTCCAACACTGGATAAAAACGAGGCCGTTCTCTCTCCTTCTTAAGTCTTTCTGCTTCCTCCAGTTTAGCCAGCTACACATCCGATTTATCCTCAAGTTAACCGATTGTCCTCTTCAATGTAAGGTTTTGCGGGTGGGGCTGAGGGAGTGGGATCGTCTCTACCATTCAAAGGGAAGACCTTTCTTCCCTTAGGATTAGAGAGATGAACGGTGAAAAAATACCCCGAGAATCCCCCAGCGAAAATGTGATGGCACCAGTTGAAGGAGTCGACTTTCAGGCCCTTAAAGACCTCAAGTGATTTGCATCAGCCGTTGCCCTAAAGGGGCCAACCAGCACCTCTAAGTGGTTTAAGGCGCAAAACGAAGCTCCCGAGGCGACAGCGGTAACTCCATCCACTTCTACCACTGGCTGGACGTGAAAAGCACTCCGGAACACACCTCGGTAGTAATTTTTACTTTGATTCACCCCCACCCACACACACTCCCAGAGCTCTTAGAATGCGGGCCGCCCTCCGGGACTATGCAGAATGCTTGGGGTAGAGGGCGGAACAGCCGGAATAGCTTGAGTGTACAGTAACCTGGGTTCATCCCACCCATCTCTCTTTCACCCCCTCCCCTGCCCAGGTACTTATGTCCTGGGACCAGACGAACCCTGTATATCCCCTTAGGAAGTCTGGCAGCGTCCCCTCTTTATTGCCCTTGCTCCATCTCCAGCTCCACGGAAAGACTGGACAGAGTTCTCACCAAAAGCGCATCCATTCTGAATCTTGCGTGGAAGGGCTTGGTGGAGTGAGCGCTCCTGGAGAGAGCTGGAGTTGTTTGATCAGCCCCGAGCAACTAGCTGCCCGAACCAGCGACGCCTTACAGGCCAGAGAATCCCTTGGGGCTAATCCGCAACCCCCCTTCGCATCTCAGAACTCGGACTCGGGAAATGCGCGCAGGCTCCGCGCACTCGCTGAGTGACCACCTTTCTGCCAGAGGTTTTCCAAGTGCCAGGGGAAAACTGGAAAATGCCCTTTCCAGTTCTTCCGGCACTTCCCTTTACAACCCTAAAACTGATCTCCCCCTCCTACCAGTCTCAGAGGGGCAATGCTTTAGGAGGAAGAGGGCTCGCCATGCTCAGAGAGGAGTTGCCACTTGGGGAAGGAGCTGAGGACCCGCGGGCAGCCGGCAGGCCGGAGAGAGAGCGCTTCCAGGCAGGCAGTGCCTGAGGGAGCGTCTAGCCCAGCAAAGAGTTAAAGGGAGGGGACGTGGGCTGTCACGCGTCATTGGGCAGATTATGTGCAGCAAACAAAAAGTGTGTGTCTGCGTGCCAGTCAGTCACTGCATCGGGTCCATCTGTACAACTCTCATTCTCTCCCCCCCACCCCCATTTCTCTCTTCCCATCTCTCCATCTCTGTTTCCCCTCTTCAGGCAGCGCCTACTAGGCAGCGATACCAGCACCCCTTGACATGGAAATACACTGATACAATAGGCAAAAGAAACAGTCGATAGCATCTCCCGGTTCCAGGTGGCGTTATTTGGCCGATTCTATCCTGACCTTATTCCCGGTAAGTCTATTTGCATTGATGTGGAAGGGGGATGGGGGGAAGTCTGGTTTCGTGGGAACAGTGGAAAATTTTGTTCTCCGTTTGCTCAGTATCCAGAAGAGGGGGGAAAATAATTGTAGAGGGAATCTCTGCTGCCAATATGATTATACAAAGGGAGGAGCCGGTGGAGAGCACTTTGCCGGAGAAGCAAGCGGCTGGGGAGCGCGCTGCCGCCAGACAATGCCTGCTTCCAGAGGAGGGCGAGCGGCCGGCGGCAGCGCCGGCTTTCCGCAAGCTCGGCGGGCTCTGGACTGGATGCCCCGGCGGATGAGAACCTGGGCCCGGGAGGAGGATGCTCAGCTGTGAAGGGCTGGGTGGCAAAGGCCACCGCGCGCGGGCGGGCGAGCCCAGGCTTTAGTCTCGCCCTGCGATTATTGTGACTGGCTTGATGCTCCTGGTGGCCGCGGCGGCGACGCGGTCCCCTATTAGCGCGGTGTAGCGAGGACCTTTTCACCGTATTGTTAGGTAAAACTGCATTTTAATGATTGTGTCCCTGCTGTTGCCCGACGTGACAGGGCGACCTCCCGGCACAATGAAACGTTTGTTTGAAAGACACTTTTAAAAGGACGGGAGAAATTGGGGCATAAAACGCTGAGTTGGGGAAATTGAAAAGGAGAGAATAGGATTCCGTTGAAAAGGAGATGGGAGGTTCGGGAGGATTTTAAAAATATATTATTATATAGAAAATTTCAATTGGAGATAAGAAAGGCTATTTTCTGTGGGATAAAATGCCCAGCGATAGATGCTCTATCATAAAGTAAGTTTCTACTTTATGGATATTTCTCTTATTTCTGTCTGGCAGATACAGCTCAATACTTGACATTTGGGGGGATGTAGCAGAGTGAATGAAAATAGAGGCTGACCAAAGTTTTATGCTCTGTTAGCTGGAAAGAAAAAAAAAGCCAACAGTGCCCTGTAATCACATTTGCAAGATTAATTGGTTAATAGACATTAAGATAAAAATGGATGTTACTAATATTATTCCATAATGAACAACTTCCGGGAAAAGAATCAAGTCTACTCTTTCCTGCTACTTAAGTTTTACAAAACATACGTGAAATTCTGCCCTTGGTGGTGTTATTTTGGGAAAAAACCAACTTAGGGGAATCTTTTAATCAGTCAGAAGGAGTGAACAATGCAGGTAGTTTAAAGCCAGTTTAAATGTTAAGTAACAGTTTTTTTTAAGACGATAAATATTGTAGGCAGTGTCCAGTGACAAAGAAAAAAATGTCAAATGATAGCTTAATAGAGAGCCCTCCACCAGGGCATTACTTTCTAAATTGCAGCGGATTAAACAGCTGGAGTGTCCACCGAGGTCTACTTAAGCGGGGCTGCCCCCTCTTGCCCAGACCGCGTTGTATTTAGAGAGCGAGAATTCACCAGTCATTACACACGCGGTATTTCAGACAGGGGACACTTCGGACCTGCCCGGTACCTTCTCACTTCACGAGGCACATGTGACTCAATCCACCCCCTTGTATAACAAGATAACTGGGATTCACCCTCATCCATAAATAAGCATGTTGAGAAAAAAAATAATTACGTCTGCTTGCTGCTTTTAATTAAAGCCTCGGAGGGACAGTGTTGGATTATGGTAATGAGCAGACATACGTCCTCTCTTGTAGGCTGCAGAGAAAGGTTAGCTGACACGGAATCAGTGGCCCTGACACTCCACTTGAAATCCATTCGCTATGCTTGGCTGTCTCCACCTGTTCGCTAATGCTGCTCCCCTCTTTGGAAGAAAATAAAATAAAATCAGCTCCCAGGGACCCAGTCCAGCACATAAGAGAAAAGGAGAGATGCTTTCTCCCAAAAGTTAGAGGTTTCTTTCAGTCAAGAAAGCCTATAGGCTACTAAAAACACTATTGTCTTCCCCTACCCTCACCTCCCGCAAATCCTGCCCTATCTGCCCCCACCTTACTGAAAAAAAAAAAAAAAAAATCTCGTCTTCCGTAGTCCTGTGCTTTCTCTCTCATAAGCAGTTAGTCTACCTTGAGCTGCCACTATTCCAATTTTTTAGTTGGCATCTTCAAAATATGCCAGATTTAATCTGTCATTGGCTTTATTTCTGAAATAAGAGCTATGCAAAAAAGCAGGCGAATTCAAGAAAAATCTGTCGAGTAGTTATAATATTCTGTCTGGATTCATAAAGGCAAAAAGAGTAATGCAATTCACTTCTGTGTCCTGTGTGTCTGTCTCCAGTGATGGAGGATTCAGGCATCCAGCGAGGCATCTGGGATGGAGATGCCAAGGCTGTCCAACAGTGTCTGACAGATATTTTTACCAGCGTTTACACCACCTGCGACATTCCCGAGAATGCTATATTTGGTCCCTGTGTCCTGAGCCATACTTCCCTGTATGACAGCATAGCTTTCATAGCTCTGAAGTCCACTGACAAGAGAACAGTTCCTTACATCTTCAGGGTAAGTCTTTGCCAATGCTGCTTAGGGTAGGAGGGTAACGTCCAGTTGGAAACTGACTAAGAATTATTCCAATGACAAGCTGACACAGGTTGTGAATGTAGAAATTGCAGTAACGTGAGTCATCCCATCTCACACACCAAAAACTGAAAAAGAAAATTAAACTCACTAAATTAAATTAAATTGTCAATTGATTTTTCTGGAATAAATGACAACATTTGATTTGGAATACCAGCTATGCCTAAATCAGTGCCTCAATTCTGGGCTTTCCCGGTGATGGAATTAACTCTGGGAGATTTCGGAAGACTGAGCTGTTTGCATAATAAGTACCCTCTGTAAGTATGAAAGCATTTGCCTTCCAACACAGGGGCCTCCTCTTCCCCTAAATATATTATGCTTTCTGGGAAAGGCAGCTACTGCCTAGAGTTTGTATCTAAATAAAAGTGTTGATGGTTTGACAATAAAATATCAGTAAATCCACGTTTGAGTTTGGATATAAAAGTCTTCTCATTCTTACTTTGCAAAGAAAAACTAATAATTGTTTAAGTCAAAATTAAGAAGATGAGCAAATGCCGTAATTTCTGAGATCTAAGCTTTTCACTTCCAAAGCAAACAAAATTTCCCCACTTTTCTAATATGGAATAATTTAGAAGTCAATTCTCAAGACGTTGACACTAATTTGAATTGGAAGAAGAAATTTCCTCATTTGATGTTCAACCGATATATGAAAACAAGGACTTAAATAATCTGTATGATTGATCCAGCGTTTCAAAGGACAATTCTCTTGCCTGATGTTTACAAACATGAGCATGGGTGCCAACTTGGGTCAGGTTTTTTGAACCTTGGTCTCAGATAATTCTTTGGAAAAGAATGACGTGTAGGAAGTGGCCCTGGTTCCTCTGGCTTCATTCTCTCACAAGAGTCTCCCTCCCCAAACCCCTTCCTCCTTGTCTTCTTTCTTTTATTTTCTAAACTGTAGGTAGACACCTCAGCAGCAAATGGTTCCTCCGAAGGTCTCATGTGGCTGCGTCTGGTCCAATCAGCCAGAGATAAAGAAGAGCAGAACCTTGAAGCCTACATAAAAAACGGACAGCTGTTTTACCGCTCTCTCCGAAGGATCGCCAAAGATGAGGAGTTACTAGTTTGGTACGGCAAAGAACTGACTGAGTTACTCTTGCTCTGCCCCTCTAGACCCCACAGCAAAATGAATGGTAGGTTGGCGATCTCGACCTGCGCGCGGGCCCTTAGCTAACGGGGGAGCGATGCAGGGAGCAGTGGGATCTCACTCTGGCGCCTGGGCGCGCCTTTCTTCCCTTTGGGGGTCTCTTAGGAAGTGTCTGAGATCTAGTCCGTAGTGTAGCTGGGGCAGGTAGGTGAGGATAAATCGGGGGACCCTTGGCTTAATTACTGCACTCCCCCCCAAGTCAGGAGGAGAAATTAGATCAAGTCGTACAGGGTCCCCTTTTTTTTCAGGCACTCAGGCCCTGAGAGGTGAAGGTGGATTGGTGAAGGGGGTGGTGACAAACGGGCCTGGAGACGATTCTGAGTAACCATGTGGTGTGCGTGTGTGTGTGCTGCGCGCGTGTGTACGTGTGTGTGGTGTTTGCTCACTAAGCAGGGTCGTCCCCTTACACATGCCTGGAATGCAGCCAACGTTTCCAGTTTGAGTTTCCCTATGCGGCGCATCTGCGCTTCCGCTGTCCCAAGAGAATTCACAGCGCTGAGAGGAGCCCCCAAGACGAACAGGGTGGCGGCGTGGGCACCAAGGATCACGGGGGCGGCGGCGGGAAGGAGCAGCAGCCGCAGCCACAACAGCAGCAGCCGCAGCCACAGCAGCAACAGGAGGCGCCCTTGGGCCCCGGCCCCAAGTTCTGCAAAGCCGGCCCATTCCACCATTACCCGACCCCCTCCCCCGAGGGCAGTAACCCTCCTGCGACGGGTGGCGGCAGCAGCGCGAAGCCATCCACGGACTTTCACAACTTGGCCCGGGAGCTGGAAAACTCCGGGGGAGGCAGCAGCTGCTCCCCGGTCAGGAGCCTCAGCAGCGGCAGCAGCGGCAGCGGCCACCAGGAGGCGGAGCTGAGTCCCGACGGCAACGCAGCGGGCGTGGGCAAAGGGAAGAGGAAATTCCCAGAGGAGGTGGCGGAGGCAGGTGGTGGCGGGGGGCTGGCGGGGGGCCGGGGCCGCTTCGCTGAGCGGCCCCTGCCCGCCTCCAAGGAGGACCTGGTGTGCACGCCTCAGCAGTACCGCGCCTCGGGCAGCTACTTCGGCCTGGAAGAGAACGGCCGCCTCTTCGCGCCGCCCAGCCCGGAGACGGGCGAGGCGAAGCGCAGCGCCTTCGTGGAGGTGAAGAAGGCGGCCCGAGCGTCCGGACTGCAGGAGGAGGCAGCCGTCGACGGCGGGGTCGCAGCCGCCGACGACCAGGACGCGGGCAGCGGCGGCGGCTCCTCCACGCCCGTGGCCGCGTCGCCGGCCACTGCCGAGAAGCTGCTGGCCCCGCGGCCTGGAGGCCCGCTGCCCAGCCGGTTGGAGGGTGGCAGCCCGGCTCGTGGCAGCGCTTTCACCTCGGTGCCGCAGCTCGGCGGCGGCGGCGGCGGCGGCGCGGGGGGCGGTGCGGGCGCCGGCGGCGCGGGCGGCGCGGGCGGCGCGTGCGGCGGCCAGGGTGCCGCGTCGGATGAGCGCAAAAGCGCCTTCTCGCAGCCAGCGCGCTCCTTCTCGCAGCTGTCCCCGCTGGTGCTGGGCCAGAAGCTGAGCGCACTCGAGCCGTGCCACCCCAGCGACGGTGTGGGCCCCACCAGACTCTACCCCGCTGCGCCCGACCCTCTGGCCGTGAAGCTCCAGGGAGCCGCAGATCTGAATGGGGGTTGCGCAGCCCTGCCGAGCGGCGGTGGCGGTCTTCCCAAACAGAGCCCCTTCCTCTACGCCACCGCCTTCTGGCCCAAGAGCTCCGCGGCCGCGGGGCCCCTGCAGCTGCAGCTGCCCTCGGCGCTCACGCTGCTGCCGCCCTCCTTCACCTCGCTGTGTCTGCCCGCGCAGAACTGGTGTGCCAAGTGCAATGCCTCCTTCCGCATGACCTCCGACCTAGTGTACCACATGAGGTCACATCACAAAAAGGAGTACGCCATGGAGCCCTTGGTGAAGCGAAGGCGGGAGGAAAAACTCAAGTGCCCCATTTGCAACGAGTCCTTCAGGGAGCGCCACCACCTTTCCAGGCACATGACCTCCCATAATTGACACGGAAAGGACCCCAGCTATTCATGCGGCACGTAAACGCACAGCACAGTCAAGCCACTTGTGGGAACAAACACGTGAAGGCATCCACCACCTCCGTGTGACTTGAGACGTTGCACCCAGAGAGAGAGTCACATCACACACATACTCTCAAACACATGCGCTCCTCCAGTCATTTCATTGAAATGTTTACCTGCGACCTACAGTACACACACATGCAGACACACGAGACAGGGCGGTGGATTTATTATTGGGTGGGGGGGTTTTGAGGGGTTTTCTTTTGAATGCACGCATTTTCACTTTCCCAAAAACAAAGGTACATTTTTTTAAATGTCATATATTGCAACATATTGATGCATTTGTCATACGTTTCTACTTAAATTATTAAGCACTTACAGTTTAGATGTAATAATTATATGTAAGGGCAAAATTTATTTTAGATATAAAGTAAAGGAGGAGAGTGAGATGCTTTCTGCATTTCTGGATGACGGGTTGTGTTCTTACAAAAATAAACAAAAGAATAAAAAGGGGGGGTCATCATTCAATTTAAGTTTCCAAGGGGGAAGTGCATGTATCATGAAATGATTATGGACTTCAATGAAGAATGTCATCACTATGTAAATATGTATTTCCTTTTAATACAAAGTGTAATTTTGTGCCAGTGAAATGGAGTCTGAATAGTTATGTGTTTCTTTTATCCCTGGAAAGATTTATTAAACTTTATAGATTATCGGGGTATGTTGGATGCTTTGACAATAAATGACTATTTTCTTCAGAGCAATTATTTGGAAAGTGTTTTTAAATAGACTTTTGTAGCCAAGAACTACACTTTGAGTAGATACCATCTATTTTCACTGAGTCCCAGAAAAGAAGAGATAGAAGGAGAGGGATGATAAACCCTGCCCCACTTGCACTTACTTACTCTAAGACAATTTTGAGCCTAAAAGAGAGAAGACAAGGTTTGATTAGTATTTGGAGAATCTTTAGCTGGGAAGCAATGGGCATCTTGATCAAAGAATAAAGCCTTTGAACAAGGATGCCTGCCATGAAGCTAACCTGTCACTAGGACATCAGTATTCTTTTCAGCAGCAGGATAATTAGTATCTTCTCAGGTGATCAGACACAATTTTCAGGCCTGGCTCAGAGAAACCAGATGAAAAGCCCACTTAAGGTTCTACTGGTGATGCCCACATAGAAGAGTATCTTGTCCTGTAGAACTGGTTAGCATTCTGTCACTTCCCATTAGGAGACCCTGTGAAGAGTTTCTTTAGAAACCAAGGTGAAACGACCACAGTAGTCTGTACTGCAGGGCCCAGCTTTCCTTCTAAAGGTGTGAGCAGCTGCACAGCTTCTGGAAAATACTAGTCCTGGAGTATTACCATACAGAAGAACCTGGTAACTTTCTTCCTCTCTCTGTCCTTCCTCTTATGAAAAGTCTTTTTGTATTTTTCATATAGCAACAATAGATCTTAGTTAAATAGAATGTACTTGAGAGTGTGTGGTATATCCAGCAACCGTTAGATGCAAAACTAAATGGATGATCATCCTTTAGGTCTTAGGATGGTACAAACTTAATCCATGGGTGTCTTCAGAGTCAGTCTATGCATGCTGTAGTTACAGATATGACACCGATTTGATCACAGGTGTTCTTTCCCACTTCCCCCTTCCCACATATCTTGCCAACCCTCCCCAGTCAGATGGAGAACACGCGTGAAGCGGTCTGAAATGGGAAACTTGCAGAAATTCTCATTGTAGGCATTCAAATTTTTTCCTAAAAGGATTTTAAAGACTTCATTTTTCTTAAGGTGATTACAGAACAAGATATGATTAAGACAGGAAGCAGGTAAAGGCCAGGGGTAGGGCAAATAGATGTATCCATACTGTGACCCAGGTTGGTGAAAATGCAGATTGACCCTCTTAAGATCATCCAAGCACTTTTTGTACTACATATTGTTGAGGCCTACTCTCAGGTTTGCTAGGCAACAGTCGGATAATCTGAAACACTAGCCCCCAGCAATGTGTGACAAGAACAGCAGTCCAAAATTCTAGTTCCAACTGCTATTCATGGCTAGTCATGACCCTGTGTCATAATTGGTATCATCTGATGAACCTGATTCTTGGTTTTCTCATCTGTACAATGAGTGAAGCAGGTTCTACAGTCTTTAAAGTACTTGTAGTGGGGAATTGATTTTTCTAATGGTTAACGAGGCTCCTATTAAATCTAAAGAGGGCTTTCTAGAGAAAAGAACAAGATTGGTTGTGAAGCAAAGTTGATGGCAAGAATTGAGAAGGATATTTGGGGGCAAATGAAAGACGGGCTTCAGGAGATCCTTAAATCATACTGCTTTAGAGGCCAACTAAGTTGTCCATGCCTGGAACGCTAGTGGATCTCTGAAGAAAGTTTTTTAAAAAAAAACCCAACAAGTCCCAGTTTGTCTGGGGTCTAACTTTAAAAACAAACAGACAAATGTTCTTTGAATGCTCTTTGTTATGTTGGATCCTTACAGAATCTCTTTTTCACTACATTGGGTTTACTACCTGTTGGGAATTCACAGATGAACTTAGGTCTAAAAAATGTGAGCAAATACTGTTTTTTGAAAAGGGCTTCCTCATAGTTGGGAATCATGTATTTTGAAGGATACATGTAGACACTCCCTAAGCTTCCCCTGTGTTTTCTTTTGCATGGTCATTAACTTAATCACGCAATCGGGAAGAAAGCCAAGCTTTGGCTAAGCTACTGCCCAGATGATCCAGGAAGGTGTGCTGTGGCAGACACTTTAGGGCTGGGCAGCTATGCTGATCAATCTGCCCACAAGACCTTTTTGGCCAGAAGTAGTAAGGGAAGGGTGCCCAGAGCTAGTTTTGTCCTCTGCCAAGGCAAACTGATAAATGTTTTATTTTATTCCTGCATTTTCAAGCTTTCAGATGTACCTTAACTCTCTCTGTGTCTGAATTTCCTCAAACGAGAGTTTCTAAATTCCATAACCCCATCGTCGGTCCAGCTAACTGAGATCTCTGGCTGAGGCCATGGGCGTAAATGCCTGCACACAGCTGCGGAAGAAACAAGGTCACAGGGTCAAGCGGACTTGGAGCTACTATGAAGTCCCTGCAGGTGGCCTGAGTTCCCAGTGCCAAGACCGCGGATCCTAAGTAGGGGGAGGGAAAGCCAACCGGTTGTTGCACCGGCATTTGTTGTGTCCCAGTCACGCGCGGAATGTCTGGGAATGTAGCGCCAGCGATCTCCAAGCGTGCCCTAGAGCGGATCTGACTCCCTCTCTTCATTTGGCGTTTGTGAGTTGGGGGACGCCTGTATTACCCAGGATGTGCTTGCAGGGTATAGAGTATGCCCATAGGCGCGTGGGAACCAGAGGACGCGGAGAGAGACGCGCGGACATCTCTGCACCAGTTCACAGGCGCTGGAGGACAGAGACGGAAACCGGACCCATCCAGGGAAAATTCCCACGGTCCCAGGCCCACTCCCAGGCTCTGCGGCCCTCTGAGGCCCAGAGTCACGACTGTTGCAGTTGCAGCCACCGCGGACCAGTTGCAAGCCCAGACGTGCGGCCGCCGTCGGGCTCCCGGGAGGGCAGGATGGGGTGGAGGATGAAGACCGCGGTCTACCCGATGTTCGCATTTTCCGAATCTCACCGGGTGTCTGAACCGCTCTGCACCGCCTTTCGTGTCCTCTGCTGAGTCCTATCCCAACCCTCGCAGTTTATCGCCTTAGGCGCCCTGCTCAATGAGCGTGACCCCTAGCGGGGAAACTTTGGACACCGAAGGCCAGTCATCCAGAACACCGGCCAGGAAGTGCGCCCCTTCCCACCCAGGGACTGAGCGGTTCTCCTGGCGGGTCAAGGTCTTCCCGTCTCTTTCTCCACCTCCTGTTGGCCAGACTCCCCTCCGCTGAGGGCTCCATTGAAGGAGTCTGCGCGTTTCTGCCCAGGGCAGATGAGCTTGGGAGGCGCAGACCGCCCCGCCCCCTTGCAGTGCTGCCCTCAGCGCGGGTGGGGGTGGGGGGCTGAACAGAGACACCGCTGGTGAGCGAAGCACCGCTGACTGACAGAGTGTGGGGCACGCAGGTCGAACAAGGATTCGCCTGGATGTTTTAGATTTTCTATTTTCTCTCCTTGCCCAATCCCATGCTCTAGAATCAGTTTGGCTCTTTCTATATTATCTTCCGGTTTCTCTTCCCGCAGTCCGTCCTCATCTCCGTGTTCTCTTCCATCTTTAAGGACTTACGGAGATTGGAGACCATTTCTCGAGTTTTGTAATCTTGTTGATTCTCAGCCACAGAGGCCACTCCTATGGTGCTTGAACCAGCCCAACAGGAAACTGCATTGTCAATTACTGGGCACTGAGGACCACCCCACACCCCATCCACTTGGACAGTTCCTCCTAGGAGAGGAAGTACCAGGTCTAGCTTTTGAACTGATGCGCTTGTAGCTTTCCTTGGAAATGTCATCTTCCCCTGGAGATGCAAAAACAGCTTCAAGGAGTGTAGAAAATTTAGCCTGCCCAGAAGCTGAACTGGGATGAAGTGAGAAGCTGGGACACCTCCTTTTCCTCTTCCCAATGCATTTTGGTTGATGGGCAGGCGATGAGGCCTAGGATGTTGAGACAGAAACATGTCTTACTGGTTGGCCCGAATGCCTTCTGTTTTGTAGTCTGGTTGGCCAGGGAGAAGGGATACTCTCTTCCTCTCTGCTTCACAGATCATAATGCTAAGGCAACCTTTGCTTTTCTTACCTTAAATAGAGAATTAAAACTTTTAAGAAATGTGTCTATTCTCCAAAACTAATAGATGAAGAAGCTGAAGAAAAAGTTCTTTAAAAAAATTCTTTTTTTTTTTACCTTTAGGGTTAGGGATATAGTAAGGTGTCCTACTTGATTAGCTAACCTGGTTATGGTAATTATTATTTCCTTATCCCTTTTCAAGTTGTGTTTGTGTGTGTGTGTTGTGCATGCACTGGAATATATATGTATGCATGTTTGCACACATGGCATATATCCACAGACATATATATGTATATATTATGCATACACATATATATTTACATATACAAATGTACATATCTATTTTAGTACACCCACATATAAGCACACAACTGGCAGGAACTATTGTTTGTACATTTCACATGTTGACTTGGTTTAATTCTCATAACCTACCCAAGAGGAAGACCATGAAGGATCTCACT